TTTCACAGCTGCTGTCATTAAACTGTATCAGCTATACTTCCCAGCCTGTCCCTCCACTGTTTTCTCTGCTAATTTGATTCGTCACATTTAACAGCTTTAGTGCCAAAATACCTCCAACATGGTTTTACTGTCAGAAGCAGTTCCACATTGAGATTTACTTTTTCATGAGAAAACGTCGGACACTGAGTCATATTTGTAGCTGGGTAACAAAGACACATCGGTGCTGGTATTTCTGTTATATCTAATATTAGAATATATTTGTGTATATATTGTAAAGCTTTGTAAGGGTTGCATTGTTTACTAAAGTCATATTGTGTAACTTTACAGCTGTGTGTTTTAATTAATTGTGTCCAAATTGTTTGGATTCTGTTGACAGTTCGAAGGCAGGAAATACTGTGAACATGACTTCCAGATGCTGTTTGCTCCCTGCTGCCACCAGTGTGGTGAGTACAGGAACTGCAGTAACAGAGAATAAATACCACCCATTTTCTTCACCTGACCCTGATCCGTTCAGGGTCTCTGTTGGGAGTTAATGCCCTTTTAAATAATAAATATCAACTGTTTGGTCTTGAACAAGTTCTCCATAATAACTCTGTTGTTCTTCTACAAGGTGAGTTCATCATCGGCCGTGTGATCAAGGCTATGAACAACAGTTGGCATCCAGACTGTTTCTGCTGTGATCTCTGCCAGGCGGTGCTCGCTGATGTTGGATTTGTTAAGAATGCTGGAAGGTCAGTTCCTCTACAACCAGGTTTACGTCTGCTACGAGATGTTTTATCTGGCACTGATGTCTCTACAACTGCGTCCTCAATAGCTTCTCCTCCTTGACCTCCTTTTAAGTATGAAAGCCAGTATTAAGAGAGGAGTATAATGTAGCTTGCTGTTCTGTGCTATATGTTGTGTGAGGGTCAGATACGGAGAAAACTGGTTTAAGTTCCTAAAAGGTAAAGGTTAAAACAATACTCACATGCTCATCTATACATTGAAATCGTTTTGTTCTTCCTGTTCACATTGAACCTGAAGAGATCCCTTCCTAATGCAAATCAAGTAGATATCTCCCCAAGTTTTTCTGTTTTACAAAAAAACAAAACAAAACAGAAAAATCTACTTAAATAAACTTAAATGGGGTTTAATCAGTATAAAACACAACTTATTCAGAGAGTCTTAACGCACTGCTCTCTCCAGTTTTCTGAAGGATTTAAAGAAGTCATTTATAAATGCCACAAGGTTTGGAGCAACTTTAAAAAAATGATTTGTGAATGTAAAATTGACCTATATTCAAAATATTATTACACAAAAATTTGATCGATATCCTCCGAAGTTACAGTGTTTTTAGTACCAAGTTCCTTCTCTGTGTTTTGCCAAATAGTGTGTCCTTGCTGAGCTGCAGTAGAGTTAACACGAGGGCACTTTGAACTACACCTTTGAATGATCCCTTCTTATTTTGTCACACTCCGAATGTTGAGGTCTCTTTTTAGCTACAGCTGAACTTTAAAAGTAATTCTTCCACAAAATGACACGACAACATTTAAATCACTTAAAGAAAGGATCTCTTCAGGGCTAGTCTGGACAGGAGGACTGATTACAGTGTGTCGTAACAGTAGTATTGC